AATTCTGGAAGACATAGTAAATTTCAGCCTTCGACACCCTTTTAACCCCACTCGCCTTCAGTGTTTTAATTTTAAAGTACATTGTACATTCATCTCATCTATTTCCATGTCAGCATGAAAAAGAAAAAAATTCAATTATATTGCATTTGTTACGCATTTTTTGTCGTTATCTGAAACAGTTATGAAAATTATTCTCTAGGGGTAAGGGTATTTACAGAACCTCTTTAGCTCGCATGTGTTTATTTTTATGTTTGCAATAACCAAACTTTCTTCATATAAAAAGAAAAGATAGGCGGCACTTGACTTCATTTAGTGTTAGCTCAGCATATTTTTGAGTGACACAACGCCGATGACCGTAGAGACCATTAACCACTGGGTGGTTTACCCTATTTTCTGAAATAGAAGTTATTACGAGTGGCGTCGCTGCGGTTGGTATCACTAAGTGTGGTAAACTTTTGCTGTCACCTCTCTAGATTTTCACTAACAGGGCTTACGGGTTTCGAATTAATAAAAATAATATACCCTTTAAAAAAAAAGTTGGAGTATATAAAATACAATTTTTTGAGCTTGATAAAAAACGAAAGTGTCACTCGGTGCAGCCTTCACCCCCCTAGTGACGCCACTGGTTACTACGTTTCATATATTTACAATTAGTAAGAGTCACAATCGGGTAATAATTGCAATCATGTATAATTAACAAAAATTAGCGTGGAAACTATTAGTACAATAACAATTATACTACTAGATATAATAGTGACAATAATAATAGGTATGTGGATTGAAATTTTTAAATTAATCAAATACTAAATAGTAATATATCATTTCAAATAACTTTAAAACAGTATTTAAATGATAAAAAATTGTGAAAATTTTACAAAAAGTTATGAGGTTTTAAGTAACAATTTTTTGATATTTGTTAAAAAAATTGTAGTGAAATTTAGTTTTTTATCTAAATTGTTATAACTTTGTCAATTCTTATTTTAATGCATATAGCTTGGTATCAAAATGCATGTGTAACATTGGGGTACACATTTATTTTTGCTTTATTAGTGGGCTTATTTTGGAGGATGCAGGAGGTGCCAAAGCACTCTCCTCACCGTAAAAAAATAATATTTTTCTCAATAAAAATATTTTTTCATATAATAATACTAATATTTTATTCCAGGCCACAAATAAATATTTCCAAAAATATTTAATTCTTATAAATAAATTGATCTTTACTAAAATAAGTGAAATTAGAATATAATTTACAATATACACAATAAAACTAGATTGACAAAAAAATTAATGTTTTACAAGATTTGTAGCCGTTAACTTATGTTTTACAAGATTTGTAGTCGTGGTTAACTGGAGTCGTGGAGTACTAGTTAGAGTTCGAGGTTCGTGATTCGAAACCGGCTCCTCCTCCTTTACCCTCAACTTATAAATTAAAAAAAAAAACTTTAAAATAAAATTTTTTACATACTTATGAAAAAGTACAAAAATTATATTCCAGATATGGAATATAATTATAAAACAAATATGAGAGGTCTTGGAAATGGAGGAGAATATAGTGAATTATTATGGAGAATATAGTGTTAATGGTTTAACACATCTTAGTATCAAAAATTTTTACTCATTATAATTAAATATTTAAAGCTGTAGTTTGCAATTTAAAATACAAACAATCGAAATTATGTTTTACAAGAAATTACATATAGTAGTGGACAAATATCAACTTATGGGAGGGTTTGTAATAAAACATTTTGGCGGAACACAGCCTCCCGTGAGTTGGCACTCACGGAAGGGTGTGTTCCGCCAAAAATTTAACAACTTAATGTAATTCTTCTAAAAAAAAATTGAATTTGGCTTTCAACACTGGCATAATTTAAATTTTCTTAAATATGAGTGGTGTTTCTTTTTTCTTTTTTTATTAAGTTTTTCTTTTCTCCTATCAGACATCAGAGTTAGAATATATATATATATATATATATATATATATATATATATATATATATATATATATATATATATATATATATATATATATATATATATATATATACATATAAATATATATATATATACAGGGCCGGCGCGAGTAGGTGTCACGTGGGGCAGGGGGTGCCATTACAACTTTTGCCGACTAAAAAAAAAAAAAAAGTCCTCGTTTTCCAAAACTTGCCTACTGCCTTGACGACATTTGCTGACTGTCTAGATTACCGACTAACCTGTATCGAAAGGGTCGACATTTGTCGACTAACTAGTCTAAAGGGTCCAATTTGCAGAGCTGTTTTCATGTCGCTTTGGAGCAAGTCTCAAGTCAAGTCTCAAGTCACTGAGGTCAAGTCTCAAGTCAAGTCTCAAGTCATATAGTGACATGTCAAGTCAAGTCTCAAGTCAAGTCAAAAGAAAGAATTAAAAAAAATTTAAATAAGAAATTAAAATCACCGAATATTTATAAACAATAAATTTCATGAGTTAAAGAAAAAATGAACCAATCAGAACGCACACAAAAAAGTTGGAATTTTTTGAAAACGAAAGAGCCTAAATGCGATATTTTTTTTCGGATCTCGCTTAGACTACAAACCAGTTAAACGTAAGTTAAAATAAAAACATTCGAAAATAAAAAATAGTTAAAAAACAGTTGTATTAAAATAGAAGATAAATTGCTCCATTTTTGAAGAGACGGAAAATAATAATTTTAAAGTCGCTAAGCCGAAATTAGCAAGTCTCGAGTCAAGTCGCAAGTCTCAGGGTAAAACCCAAGTCGAGTCTCGAGTCGAGTCATTGGTGTGACTTAAGTCGGACTCGAGTTCGAGTCGGTTGACTCGAGTCTTTAGCTCCGACTAAGCCCCCCCCACCCCCAATTGCGTCGGCCTTGTATATATATATATATATATATATATACATATATATATATATATATATATATATATATATATATATATATATATATATATATATATATATATATATATATATATATATATATATATATATATATATATAAATTTATTTAGGTGCCCCAAGATATCCTTGCGTTCTTATAGCAGAGCACTTGCCCTGAGGTAGGGTTTGAACCACGGATTCTTTGTGTCTGAGGCAAAAAAAAAATACGAATACAAAAAGATTTCAATAAAATTGACATTTACCATTTTATTTTAAAAACGATTATAAAAAAACCAGGATACACAACAATCTAAAAAAAAACTTTAGACCATTATGATCACATTAGAAAAAAAAGTTTTACAAAATATTGAGATTTACTTTGCGCTCAAAGCCAAATAATTTAAGAAACATTTGGGGCATTTTTCGGGGTGTTTTGCCGCTTGAGCACAAGGTAAATCGCGAGGTTAGAATTATTTTGTTCTATCTCCACTTTTTTTTGTTTCGAGATAAAGCGATTTAAAAAATAAAAACTTCAGGAGACGGCATATAAAAAGATTTTTATTACTTATGTTTTCTCCGAAACTTTTTTGATTTTAACTTAGGTTTTAATATAGTAGAAAAACATTATTTTGAGGTACAATACACAATTAATAACTCATTTTTTTCAAAAAGTGGAGATAGAACAAAATAATTCTAACCTCGCGAAATGTCAAAATTTTTGGAATTTCGTTTTTGTAATCGTATTTTTTTTAATATGCCCCAAATTTGGCTTCTTGTGTATTCAAATTTTGAAAAAAAAAAAATTTTTTTTTGAACACTTCTACTATCTATATAGTGAAAACTTGCACTTGCCGTCTCTTTCTAGAGAATTTTGGTAATCTTCCACTGCAATAAAGCAAGCATAGATTTATGCTTTTTGATTATTGATTCTGATTATTTTAATAAACTGAACATAAATCGAGCATAAACTTTTTATTGCTTTAAAAATTGTTGGATTAATTAAGGACTTCCAAATAAAATCTGATATTCTGTAAAACAATGCAACTTAGTTATAATCACAACCTTAAATTGTTTGCAAAAATTTTTTATACTATCTGTGGTTATGTAATCTTTATTACATTTTTTGCGGTAAAAAAGTCTTTTGGATATATCCGTAAGGATATCAAACAAACATAGGGAAATCACTGCAGTTTGCCAGAGCGTGTCAAAAAAATGAAAATAAAAAGTTTTACATAATATATCAAAATGTTTTTATTTTCATTTAAAAAAATAAAAAACATTCCAGTCTATTAATTAAGTTGCGTTTTCGTGGTTGTTTAAAAAGTGACAAACTTTAATTAGTTTTCTCAATTAAATTTAATGGTTTTTACATAAAGTGTACTTGATTTTGTCACTTTTAAAGAAAAAGAGTCTTTTAAGTTGTTTTTTTACTATAAACGGTAAATTTAAAGCCATTTTTATAATATATATATATATATATATATATATATATATATATATATATATATATATATATATATATATATATATATATATATATATATATATATATATATATATATATATATATATATATATATATATATATTAGTATGACTATATATCTTATGCTGCTGAGTTAGGTGAGCATGATGACATCATACTGAAATAGCCTGCTGCTGGGGGCTTCAGTACATACATCAACTGACAAATAGCCCGACTCGCAGTGGAGTGCTGCTACATCGACTGAGGGTTTGGTATGGGTCAGCAACCTTTTCATTCATTATTCTTCGTTTTCTCTCATCGTTTTCTCACGATGCTCACTTAAATTAGGCTAGCAAAATAAGTGAGCAATTGCGCATATAAATATGCTACAGTAGATATATATATATGTATATATAAATATATATATATATATATATATATATATATATATATATATATATATATATAAATATATATATATATATATATTTATATATATATATATATATATATATATATATATATATATATATATATATATATAAATATATATATATATATATATTTATATATATATATATATATATATATATATATATATATATATATATATATATATATATATATATATATATATATATATATATTTATATATATATATATAGTCATACTAATAAAGGTAGCTTTAAGGACTTCATGCATCAACTGACTTTGAAGTTTAAATTATTACTTTAACTTTAAAGTCACTAAATTGTTTAAAGTTAAATTATTTAGTTACATATTATGACCGAAGCGAAAGAAGAGGTTGCTGTTCCAAGAGACTTTTATGATTACAAGCGCTTACACAGTTATCCTTTAATAAAGGTGATTAATTTTTTTTTTCAATGAAATATAAATGAACATGTATACACGGCTTATTATATAACAGGCTTTGCCAACACATGGCTGGAGTAAAGAGTTTTTTTAAATAATACAGTTTTGTAAAATAAATTTGTTTTTTTTTTAATAATATAATTTATAAAATTAATTGACTATTTTTTAATTAACATATTTTCTGATAATTTAATACCATAATTTAATATATAATTTAGTTTAGATATAAATAAATTTTAAATAAAATTTATTTATATCACTCGTCATTATTTTAATTAACTTTTAATTTTTAATTGATTATGAGTTAGTTAGGAAGTAAAAAAATTAGAGAAGCATTTTTTTATTTTGAAATTTTTTTTTGATGTTGTGTAGTAAATTGTAATGGTAATTACAATACTCAGATTAGAATTAAAATATTTAGACTCCCAAGAAACATTGAAGAACAAAAAAAGTTGGATTGCTATAATACCAAGAGATAATATTCCTGATACTAACAACATAAGACCAAAAGATTATTCTTTTTACTTTTGTAATTTTTAAGTGGTAATGGAAGCTGAGACCTGATGATACTCCATTAGTGTTTGATTGCATAAAACCAATTTTAGTTTCTACTGTACCTTTGCCACTTAAAAGCATCTTGGTTGTAGTAGTGTTCACTTTCAAGAAAATGAATTAGCAAAGTTTAATGCTCAAGACAAGTTAGTTAAAAATTGTTTTATTTTTTGATAAGGTTTATGTTAAATCCATGTCGCAGTACCTGGTTACAAAGTATTTGATGAAGCAGTTAACAAACCTCAAATGTGAGCTTTTTGGTTTTAACATTGTTTAGTGGGCCAAAATCTCTCTACAAAATATCATCAGTAAAAGTTTATTTTTCACCATAGTAAAGAAGAAAACTTACATAAGCATTTTACATACATAAAACTTATATAAACATATTACAATGTGCATTTGACCACAAGCTTTATAGAATTAAAAGAGTTAAAAGAAAGAGTTAAAAATAAACACATGGAATTAAATTGTTTTATGCTTGTTCTTTAAAAAATCCTAATTTGGATTGACAAGGTTTTAATTATAGGCTGACAATAAATTGAATATATTTATAAAAAAGACTTTTATTGTAACATGAGGTCAGATAGGAAGTTTTCACGAACTGACCAAGATAAATATAGTTTAGAAGAAAAAAATTAGAACTGTAATACTCAATAAATATCAGTTTTCAAAGTCTTATCAGTTTTCAAATCTTTAAATCATCACTATTTTACATACAAATTGTTAAGATATTGCCAGTTTAAAAAGTATACTTTAATATACTTTTTAAACTGGCATAGAGATATACTTTAAAGGTATGTTGTGTAGCTTTCAACTTGTTGTAATGATGTTGGTTAATACAGAGCTACAGTATATAACTAAGAAAATGAAATAAGTTAATGTTCAACATTAGTTTAATGTTTTGGTAATAAAGAATTGAGTTTTAGTAAATAAGAAAAGTTTAATAATAATAAGTAATATTCAACTTGGCAAGCTGACCATTTATCAACATGTAACAATGTGTAAAATGTGATATTGTTTTAGACCCCAAAAATTTTGAAAATAAATTTGTGTTTTATAATAACAACAATATTGATATGTTTTGAATGATCTTAAATGTTGTTATTTCCAAAATTTCTAAACTAAAATTTTTTTGTTTTTTAGTTAGTTGTTCTAGTGTTGTGTTTTTAGTGTTGAATTTAAGTCTTGCCTTTGATTGTTCTATTCTATTGTTCTATTCTATTTTTTTAATCATATTCTATCATTGTGTTTTATTATTGCATTATATAGTAATTTTTTAAGAATAGATAATAAAAAGTTAATTTAGTTTTTAGAAATTTTTGTATAAAGTTTTGAAATTTTCCATGAACAAACAATTTTTTTTTTTCTCATTTTATAAAATGAGAAAATTATTTTATTTATTATTTTATTACTTATTATTTCTCTCATAAAGTTTTTTTTTTTTTTTGTATGTATTTAGGTGCTCCCAGAAGTCCTTACGGTCTTATCATAGAGCACCGCGGGAGAGCATTTAACAGGAAGTTCACGCCTCCTTTCGTACCAATATCGCTTGTTGGGCTAGAGCTGGCTTTGAACCTCGGGCCTCTGGGTTCTGAGCCAGAACTTTAACCACTGCGCCATGGCTGCTCCATTAAATAAAATTGTTAAAAATTTATAAACTATTTAATGAGCACAAAAATCCTTTTACACTATTACCCTAAATTAAAAAAGTGTGCTTGTAATATTTCCCCTTTGGATTCCCATAAGATTTCCCTTTTAGATCACTATAAGATATCTCTTTTAGATCTATTAGCAGTAGATTATAAACTGATGATAAAGTCTTTGGGTATGAATTTAAAATAAAAGTAAAAAAAAAGGAAACTTGTCAACATAATTTAGGTTTAGCAACTGCAAGCTGCTGACTTGTCTAAACCCTGGTGACAAAAATTTGGCACAAAATAAACACTGGCAGTAATAATAGGATGAAAAGTTTAATGAGCAAAAAATGAGTACAGAATAAAAAACAGAATAGTAATATTGTATATTTATATATTGTATGTATGTATGCTCTGTATGCGTGTTTTCACAAATGTTGAACAAGATTTTTATCAACATTTCATAAACTAGAACAAGTTCTTTTTAGCATTTGTCAGTTTTTTCCACTTTTTTATTAGTTAATCTAAATAAGCAATTTCAGTAAAAGAAAAAATTTTTGTAAAGAAAACAACAAACAAACAAATGATGAGTAATTACAAATTCGACAACTTTAACTGGTCAAAGGTTTTGCCACATTTTTGTCTCAAGAGACTATTCTGTAAAATGTATGACTTTTTTTAAGTTAAGTAATTTGAACAAAAATATTATTGAATAAAAAATTTACATCTTTTGTGCAAAATAGTTTTTTTTTTGCTTTTTTTCAGCACTCAGATATGAATGAAGAAATGCGTGCTGAGGCAATGGAGTTGTGTGTTACAGCTTGTGAAAAGTTTCAAAGCAATAATGAGGTATACTCCATATAAGTAATACTTTTTTTTTATCAGGGTTTGAATCTGTTTTAAGAACTTTTTGACCTTGCAACAATATGAAATTTTTTCCTATTCAATCTAAAAAAGGTTTTCTGAACTACAAGTTTCAAGATTTTGTAAATTTTTTTTTTTTTTTAAAGTTTTAAGAAAATGTAAATAGTTTTCTTTTTGAGATCATCTAGAATAATCTACGATTTTTTTATCAATTTTTTTTTTATTAAGTTAAACACATAAATGTTTCACAAATACAGATAATTGTACATTGCACTCATCTCTTTTTAATATAATATGGCAATCTCTTCTTAATATATCAATTTCTTATTAAAACCAATCAATACTATTTATCATTAACAAAAAATATTTACTTAATGCCTTTTTGAATTTCTACAGTTTTAATAAATGTAAAGACCTTAATGTCTTTTGATTTATGAAAGCTGTAGGAATATAAAAATGAGTCAAATCGTTTACCCAATGTAAAACCTTTATTAGGTGATAATCTTATATAAATTAATATGTAAATTAAACTTTAATTATTTGTACAAAGTAAATTATTTACACTTTATTTTAATAATATAATTAAAAAATATTTGAACAACTTAGTATAATCTTGGTCCTAAAAATGTCTTTAAAATAAAAATCAACAATAAAGTTATCAGTTATCCAAATAACCAATCTTTTTTAAAAGGCTAATGGATTGCTTCTATTATAAGGTGGTTTGTAACATATAGAGAAAAAATCTTTATCTACATTTGTGATGTATGTTGTCCATTAATTAAAATATATATGGACATGTTTAGGCTGCCGCTAAAATGATCAAAGAAAGTTTAGATAAAAAGTTTGGATCTCCTTGGCATTGTGTTGTCGGAGAGAGCTACGGGTATGAAATTACTCATGAACTTAAAAATTTACTTTACATGTTTTTTGCAGGATCTTTGGCTGTAACAGTGTGGAAGTGTTCATAAAATTTGAAATTTAAATTATGTAACTTGTATATACTTGTATTTATTTTGCAATTTTATTAATGTCATATTATATTATTCAAATATGTTTTCCGAGCTTTTTGTAGAATTAATATTGTTTTTGTATATTAAAGCTACATTTATTACCATTTTTGTTAAATTGTGTTTCATAAACTCCTTGAAGAACATTCTTATAGCGTGGTGGATGTATACCCCCATCCCCCTGGATTCGTCACTGCATTCCTTTCATTTCATAAACTTTTTGGAGAACGTCCCTATAGCATTATAAGGATTGTTCTCTCTGAATATATAATTGCATAGTCAAATAGCTGCAAAGGCAAAACAAGACGTTTTATTAAGAATGACAATTAGTGCATTTTTTTTTTTATAAATAAAAAAATAATAATAATAACATAAAAAAGGAGGGAAAATGTCATGTCAAAAAGAGTAGGAATCATTGGGAATGATTCCTACTCTTCTTGAAATGGGGAGCATTTTCAATTTTATAAACTGCTAATTTCTTGAAGTATTACAAATTCATATTATTAAAAAGTATTTATGCTTTTTAAAAAAATTACGTTTTTGTATATAATATAAATTAAAAAGTTTTCGCCTTGCAACCCTGTTAGAAAAAGTTACTTGTGAGTAAGCAAAAAATTAAAATTTCAAAAAATGAAAAAAGCTATTAAAATAGGATTTTGACTTCAAAAAAGGATTTTAATATCAACTAAAATTAAATTAACGGTTACCGAGTTAGCAAAAGACGTTTTTTAGACATTTTATACACGTCTTGTACTTACTAGGTAATCATTAATGGTTATTAACTAGAAAATTCACGGGCGCCCGTTTTTAGCATTTACGCATATAAATTTTTTTCCCTTTAAAAAATAAAGTGAAGCTGGGGAAGCTAAGTATACATATATATATATATATATATATATATATATATATATATATATATATATATATATATATATATATATATATATATATATATATATATATATATATATATATATATATATATATATATATATATTGTTTTACGTAAGAGTCGTATTGTAAAACGAGTTCAATTTATTATAATTATTATATTTTATATACAAATATGCGATAAACACAAAAAAGATACTGTAGATCACAGCTAGTAGTAGAACAGTTGCTCGAGTCCGTTGATGTTTGATAGGTTACTCCAAGAGAGCGAGGCTTTGATAAGCACGCTTTTTATATATATTCCCAAGGGGGTCATTAATTGTTTATTATAAGCAGCCAACCCAAATGATTTACGTTTACGATAACTTGATGAACGCAACACTCCCGCCACAAACAGTAGTAACAAATAGCTGAATGTTATTTTCATTCACAAACGTAGTTTCAACAATATTAAATTTATTTTTATCAAGTAAACACAATTTATTAACTGGGCGAATCAAATACATAATTTTTCCAGCGGAGACACATTGTACAGTTGCTGCACGCACTTTTCCGTCCGTTGACGGTAAAAGTTTTTCAATAATGCCTAATTTCCATAATCCTCGAACCAAATTCGCATCTAGGATTATCACTACATCGCCTTTCTTTATAATATTTTTACTTCCACATTTATTATTACTTCTACGAAATTCGCGAAGCTCTGTTAAATATTCACTGCGCCACCTATTCCAAAAATGTTCTAAAATAGAGTTTTTATATAGAAGGCGCTTTTTTATGTCCATATTTTTATAACTATTTTTTATCAATAATATTTCTGCGCTTATTCTTTTGCCAAACACGAGATGATTAGGAGATAAAGGTTCGCCCAGTTCTTCATACGAAAACGTTAACGGACGATTATTCGTAACGACTTCGATTTCTGCAAGAACTGTGAGTACTTCTTCGTATAATAATCTTGCAGTTTTTAATTAATTTCCTGAGAATTCTTTTGACTGAACGTACCATACGTTCAAAGAATCCTCCCCATCACGGAGCGACTGCAACATTGAAGTGCCATAAAATACCTTTTGAGGATGCAAATTGTTGTGTTTCATCGGCTGTAAAACACGATCCATTATCGCTAATAATTTCGTAAGGTGCACCAAATTTGCTAATGAGTCTTCGCAACTCTCGAATACACGCCAAAGCTGAACAGTCAGGAACTAAATCTAAATGTATAAAACGTGTACTAGCACAAGAAGCTAAAAGTATCCAACACTTAAGTAGTTCTCCTTCAGAGTATATATTTTTTTAAAAATAATGGTCCAATAGTTTATTAGCTTCATTCCAATTCTGAAGTGAGGCTTTGATGGTGGTTTTGGTTATAGCGAATATAAACACAGTTTTGCTGATGGAGACAACTCGGATGCAAATGTTTCATTTGCATTCGAGTTGTCTCCATCAACAAAACTCTGTTTATATTCGCTATTACCAGAACTACCATCGAAGCCTCGTTTCAGAATTAGAATGAAGTTAATAAACTATTAATACTTCATTTTACTCATTTTCAAAGTCAAACATTAATTAAGACTACATTAAAGATAAAATTAAATTCCTGGTTCCACCAAACATCGTTCAAAATAAAATAGAAATAAACTTACATTATAAATTGGTCTTGACAATCAACAATGAAAACGTTTGCAATGCCATAACATATACAAAATTCGCGTTGCGGTGTTGCTGTTGCAATGGTTACTTGTATTTTGCAATTTTGACTAAATACAATTATAATAATTTTGCTAAATAAATAAGTTCGAATCTATTTTGAATTATGGTCATTTGCATGTATCAAGTTGCATGCATGAATTCTTTTTTTTAATTTTTTTATTTCATCCTCATTTTATATTCGTAACAAAAAAATAGTGTTTTTAGTACAGCGGCAGATTTAATAGATTAATAGTCGATCGACTAAAACTAGGGATGCGGTAATACCAATGACGGGAATACTTTTTTAAAAAATTATTTGAAAATGCTCTAACAATTAAATTGCTTAAAAAAAACTCCTGAAAAAATACAGTGCACACATTTTTTTTGCTTCTAGTTTTGTGAGATCCTACAATATCTAAAAAAATACAGTGCACACATTTTTTTTGCTTCTAGTTTTGTGAGATCCTACAATATCTAAAATCTCTAGTGAAAACCTACAGATTTTTTTTCTACTTTTTTTTCTTCTCAATGTTTATTACTGTTGTTACTCTCAATATTTACAACTATTGATATTTATAAAAACATAGCAACTTATTCCTCTAAGATAAAACTTATCAACATTATTTTAACGTAAAATAATACCATTTTTATTGAATGGTAGGGTTTGTTAGTTAATTATTTACACAAAGCCACAGCCTCGTTAAACCCATCAGCTACTGAGTATACGTGTCGGTCACTTTTGTATGGCATTTATGGTAAATATGGTAATGGTAAGCTGTAGCAACTACAGTGATTGATAGTTGTCTAGTACCCCTGTGATGCAAATTTTGAAATCTTTTAATTTTATCCGTGGAAAATAATTTAATTTGAATGTTCAAATGAAGTGAAATTTTGACTTAATAGTGCAACAATAAAAACACTTGTAAAATAAGAACCACATATAATTTCATAAAATTGTTGCAATTGTAGCATACGGCTACACCAAAATCTGGATAAAATTTCAGTTGGTTTGGTTTAATGGTTAAGGATTTATGGTAGTTTATATTATGTTAGTTTTTTACTACTTAGACATGAAAACGTTACCGATTACTGTGATATTCGATCACTATTTAACACAAAATAAAGGTTACATAGGTTTCCTAATATGTAGTATCAACAATTTTTATTATAACTGTTTTATTGTTGGATGTACCATTTTCATTCTATAGACAAAAATTTTGATTTGAAAAAGTGGAGGGGGTCAAAAATATTTACTATTTGAAGGTTTGAATTAGCTTATGTATTTTTTTTTGGTTCTTGAAACCGTCTTAAATACATTGACTTTCAAAAAAAATAACTATATAAAACCTATTTTTTACATTATATTACCATCAAATACCATCTGATTAAATTGTATGAAATGATCTTTTCCACAAGAAATTTATTCAAAATTCGTTAATAAACTATTTTAGTCAAATACTTTTCAATATTTTTAATGTTAAAATGTTAAAATTTGTAATAACTAACAGCAATTAAGGATTAATATTGTTAAAATGTTCGTTATAAACCGCAAGCATCTGCTGCTTAGTTTAATAAATTGAATAAATTGTCGCAGTTTTTTAAAAACGCTTACTGAAGATCAACCATGCAGCTAAACAATCTTTTTTTGTACTCTGGATGATTATTGTTTTGTTTATATTTTGACCAATGTTATGTTTTGTTAATATAATCGTTATATAATCAACCAATCGTTAACCAATGTTATGTTTATATAAATCTTGATGAGCAGTTTCGACAGTTTGTTCACTATAGGACCCCAAGAGGGATTCCTTACCATTGATGAAATCTTTGATGTTGTAAAAGACGGTGTGAATTATGGGTAGAAGACGGTGTGAATTATGGGTAGAAGACGGTGTGGATTATGGGTAGAAGACGGTGTGAATTTTGGGTAGAAGACGGTGTGAATTATGGGTAGAAGACGGTGTGAATTATGGGTAGAAGACGGTGTGAATTATGGGTAGAAGGCGGTGTGAATTATGGGTAGAAGACGGTGTGGATTATGGGTAGAAGACGGTGTGAATTATGGGTGTTACGCTTGCACTTGTTATCATTAGGTAACACCTTTTGAAATTTTCATTTATTTAAAAAAAAAATGCGACTGAAGGATAAATCCAAAGCAAGCTTTTATAACTAAATTGAAACTTTTAAATGCTGAAGAATATTAGAAACCGAGTTTGTATCCGCAAGTTGCTGGAGCACATCCACATTTTTAAGAAGTTTCTGCATTTTTTTCCCTAGAACTGGCCCTCATTTTACGGACTCAGTTTAACATAAAGAGCAGCTGGCCACTTAACAGCTTTTATCCAAGCAATTTTAATTATCTTAAAACTATGATTTACAACTCCTATCAGGAGATGCAATACCATCAGTGAGGTTATTTCCAAATTTAGAACATTGTCAGTCCTACTGGTGATTAACTTTCGAAACAAACAACTTTACTTGAACAGCAATCCCGACAGATTACTAAAAAGACTCGCGGCTAAATTTGA